GTGAGGTATGGTATGTATGTGTATATTGTGGTATGCATGGTGTGTATGGCATGTGTGGATGATGTGCATGCTATGTCTGGCGCGTGTGATTGTTGCATGCGGCTCATGTGACCAAGCAATGGTAATGCCCCAATCCACTTCCTTTTTTGACTTGATGATGCGAGATCATCTCAGGTCGTTCCCCTATTGCACGATCGTAGCTATTGCCACGCGTTTTGAATTTCACTAAACTAACTCTGTGTGTTGGTCGTCTTCTTCTCAAGTTCCTCACCAACTTGCTCCATTCGAATGCCCAATTGTTCACATTGACAATCGAAGGCGATGCAGCGCAGGTTGCATTGGTCAGGCCTTCCAGGTATACTGTGCAAAATAATGTAGTCACTACTGGTTTGTGTTTGCAGGTATTCAGATCCAACAAAAGTCAAAAAAAAATGTAAAATCTACCAAACAAAATCAAGGTGACTCTTCCAAGTAGGGTTCAATCTGGTTCAGCCAACAGCTCAAACATAGGTATTCATATCGAATGGCTTTCAACTTTCGCTCGAGCTGTTCAATTGAACAGTTTGCAATCTTTGCAAGCACCGTCATGGCTTAACCACACTAACCACACCGGTATACTTGAGAAACAAAAGCTGTTAGACATCCAACGACATGTCTTCACCAATTGATGTGTTGGGTTGGTCACAGTTTGGCACCTGCTGCCCACCACGTTTTCGCCTTTTTTCTCGTGCTGTAGATTGTTGAGTTGTTTTCTGCCATGCTTTACCCCAGCATGCGCACACATCTTCTATCACAAGTTTGCTACTGAAAAGCACGGTTGGTATCACAACCGTGATTGGAATCACAAAATCTTCACAGTTGGCATGAACATCTAAGCCACTAAATCTGGAGTCCCTGGCGGCCGGCTTGGAACGCAGCTCGCTCACTGGAGTGCATCCATTCTCGGTGGGCATCTTTGATCGTGGCATTTGGAGTCTCAGCCAAAAACTTCCTCACCTTGGTTGTGTTTTGTGTTGGAAGCAATCATCGGTGGTTTCACGCCAAATTATTGAAGGAAACATATGGCAATAATGACGTTTGAAATCACAAAAGTGACTAAACCAAATCCAAGCCACAAAGGTCCAGCGAACATCGTTCAATGTTGCGGCACTGGGAAGGGCATCTGCATTAGGAACTGGGGGAGCCTCTTCATCTGCATTGGGAACGTCTTCGTGTTCTTCACGTGAGCCTTTCAATACCTGGTTGACATCTACACTTCTGAGACTTCTGAGAAAACCATCATAAATTCAGCAAGAAAACTTGTGCAACAAAACATTCCACTTAAAGGAGGACAACTTACTAGATAAAACTGATATCAAAGGCACGCCTTTGGATTCAAACTTTGCATGCCAACGCCGAGAATTTGCCCTCTTGCGTTCAAGCCGTTCATTCTTGATCTTGTTGACCTCCTGCGCATTCATACCTGGAGTAATTTTGACGCCCTTGAATTTCTTCAAAGCTGGCTCCGCTGTATTTGCTTCATCCTGGCTTTGCTGTGTTTGTTTAGAAGAAATTTGATTGAATTTCAACGTTAGCTCTAATCTTGTTATAAGTAAACAAGATTGGTGGCATCCTTGAAACAAACCACCCTTGCATAAATGCTCAATGTTTACACAAACACCAGGCCTCTGCTGGACCACTGGGTAACTCTGCAGGTTCCTTTGCAGGTTCCTCTGCAGGTTCCTCTTCTTCAATCTCAAGTCCCGGTTGTTCAAGGATAGGTTCAAGGTCAGCTGGAGCAAGTCGATCATTCAAATGACGGGATCGTTTTGGCGCAGCTTTGCAAGCCTATGGTGGGTGTGCTGCATCCATCAACCCCCTCGTATCTACCAGAACTCCGCAAAGGTTGGAGGTACACAAACATATAAAAATAAAAACTGATTGAAAACACACATCAGTAGACCAACAGTCGAACAGGATTGGGATTGGGATGAGAAGCTTCCTCACGTGCTGGTTCCATAGGCACCATTCCATCATCATTCTTAAAGGTAAGCGCAGACTCAGGGGCTGGCTCCACATGTTGTGCACCATTTACAGCAGATGGTGCCTTGTCCGGAACCATCACCACCCAAACGAAAACACCAACAACAACAATATCAACAACCAACACAACCATATCAGCAATATGAACAGCTGCAACAGCAAAATGAGAATTCGATAGACAAGCTGCTGCATCCTCTTTCCAATCGGTGAATGGACCAGTTAGTATCGCGTTGCCAAAATCATCTTGACTATCGTTTTCAAAGTAGGGGTAGGCCTGCTTGGCATAGTCAGAATAGTCTCGAGGTGACAAAAGTGGCTCCTTCTGCAATGGTCGCGCAATCGTCTCAACTGGCATGGCCATAATATCCTGCACTTGTCAAATACTGGTCCAACAAATTGCAACAACATACAAGCAAATACAACAAACATAAAGAAAGAACGAAAACATTGGGCCTCCCCCTCCAAAAAATCATGCTCCTTAGCTACCATAAACTTCTTGACGTCTGAGCTGACTTGGAAACTCATCACCTGAGTTGGAGCACCTTCCAACATGATGTTGGTCAACTTGTTTGAACTTCTGCTGCTGGAACTGGCATCAGGAGCATCTGGCTTCAACTTCTTCGAAGCACTGGAAAGCACGGGCTCGCTGGAAGATTGGGAGTTGCCCAGTGTAGCATTGGACAGGTGCTTGTTCAACAGCCCGGTGTTGGCCACTGAGGAATCAATGTCCAAGTCAATGATGTCAGAGAATTCCATGGCTCAAAGCTGTTCCAAACCACTGAAACGAAAACTGAAATCTCTCTGAGCAGAAGTGCAAAATAATATCAATCTATATTTCTCAACTCTGATCAACACCCGTCATATATCCTTTTTTGAACCCTGTGGTGCCCCCCACCTGGGTTTAGTGACCTGGCAAACTGCGTTGCTCTAGGTTGAATCCACACAGCCAACCATGTTGGCAGCTCCTGCCGACTTGGCAAGATGCATCAAAATGCAAAATCGCCCTTTTGACCAGACTGTCTCACAAACAAGTTGGCGCAGTTGTTGTTTGATTTAGTGCTGATCCCATAAACTAAACACTCTAGAAGTGCAATAGTTTTAAAGCATATCACACGCGATGAACATCCTGGCCAAAGTAGGGACCTAACAAACCTGGTAAACACTTCCAGCATCAGCAGTGAACCCACTGCCACGCAAATACCATAGAGGTTTCGCGGGGCCCACCACTTTCTCACGTGCAAAATGCCTCACTCCTAAATGGATTGAAGTGGAACATGCAAAACAGAAAGGTGTAGGAACCAACCACCACCAATGAAATAAGCAAAGTATCAAAAGGAAAATGCGTTAAAACTAACACCGAGGTTCGCCATACCAGTTGGAGATGCTGGCTTGCTTGAAGGCTCTTGTAACCGAGCAAACCAGCAACGTTGGTTGCCTTGCACTGCTTGGCAGTGACAGCGTTGGGCTTGAACACGCTATGAGCTTCATGCTGGACCTCGAGTCGGTCTGCCTCTTCGCCCCTCCGCACTGCCGGTGGCCGCTCGATGCTGTGACCAGTCACTTTCAGATCCAAAATGCCTCTCTTCTCAAAAGAATGGATCATATGGTAGATCGTCATGGGCGCAGTGTCTTGCGTACCCTGGGAGGTCGTTTCCTCCAAGACTACCTTGGCTAAACGCATGCCATTGTAAAGTTTTGACATGTGTCGAACACATATTGAAAACAACATCCAATCCATTCCCGAAAAACTTTCCTAAACTTGGAACTAGAAACCATCGAATCACTGGATTCCAAGCGAAATTCCACAGCTTTGTTCTCATTGGCTGGCTTTCCCAAGTACTCCTGCGCCTGATCTGTTGCATGACAGACATTGGGTCAACAAATGTATACAATCACATAGAAAAGCATTAAATGTATATTATAAATAAATATATATATATATAAATATGTGGGTGTATTTATCTTTAATCTTTACTGGCCCGAAGAACAATGAATGGAACACTTGTTGGTTTTGAGATCACCAAGCCTTGGCAGACTCACTGATCCAACTTCCACCAGCATACATGAACAAAGGCTTCGCAGTCTCTCCAGATTGAACTCCTGGAAGGATGACCTTCGACTGACTGCTCAAAAAGGCATTGGCTCCGACCACATAGCAGGTGATGTTCACTCCAGCACCAAGGGTCAAAGTGATGGTTGCATCAGGATTTGGGTACTTCTGTTGGAACTCATTTGCGGTCATCTTGGCCGGTTCCGGGCATGTCACCACAGCAGCAGGGGGAGGAGCTGGAGCTTCCTGCGCCAAGTCAACATCTGCAGCAGCGGCCTGTGGGTTAGGTCGATCTCCAGAGGATAGGGGCTGGCTGAAGACTGAATCGAAGTTCTTCAGCCGCACTCGCCAATCAGGATCTTAGAGGAACAATGTGCAAACAACTTTTAACAAACAATCTTGACCAAAAAACAAACAGCTTCAACCAAACCACCTGTGGCACAGTCAAGTATCTCCGAACTGGATCGCTCAGCCACTTGTCACGAACTTCTTTGGGAATGGCCATATTGCCAGCATCATCCATTTTGCACATTTTCAGCTGCGGTTGACGGGGTGCTGCGTGTTCACAAAGGTCTGCTTGCGCTTGAAACTTTGGGGTCATGAGCCCAATCTGACCCTTTCCTTGCTTCCATTCCTCAAGGGGTTGATGAAACAGTGGCTGATGCTGAAATAGATTCTAATGTTTTACCATGTGTTACCCTTAGAAAACATACATTTTGACAACTGGTCCTCCAAAAGCTTGTCTTTCACCCCTGTGACGGCATACTGGAAGATGGCTGGGCTGGTCGTCTCGCTGAACCCTGCCAGGTGGCATTCCTGCTGCAATTCGTTCATCAGATCCACCAGCACCTGCAATGATGTCAACATTGGAACAAACTTCATGTCTCAACAACATTGTTTCAACAACCGTTGAATATGCTTCATGTTTCAACAACATTGTTTCAACAACTTTGAAAGGGCCCAGCCTTCTCGAAGACACCATCGTACATGGTTTGGTGCTGCACCACCAACAATTGGCCCTTCAGCGTGCTGACGCGGGATAAACAGCCCTCAAGGATGGAGCGGATTGTTGACGCGGATGCAAACCATTGCGCCCCTTCCTGCTTGTCCTGAACGATCAGGAATTATGAGAGTGAGAGACACTCACACTTTGTGAGTAAGAAACTCTACTCCATATATACCGACCTTACAAAGTGAGGATGTTTCCATAACTGAAAACATTAAACTTAAAGCTTCGCGCAAATGCATTGAAGTTTCTGTCAGCGATCGCCCTTGTTCATGTGTAAAAAATGTACCACTCTCCGGTGTGACATAGTCACCTCAAATTGCTTTAGTTTGGGCATTGGTGTGGACTGGTTATGCAAACACTGGGATCTGCAAGTTGAAATAAACATATGATGAATTTTGCCAAGTCTCTGACAGGCAAAGGTGTGGACTGAGCACAGACAAGGCTGTTCCAAAAGTCTGATTTGGCCCAAACGTTGTCATCTGCCAACTTCCTCTCAGCGTTCCTCGGGGCCTTGTATAGAGTCCCTTGTCTCGCTCCAAGCGTGGTATCCAATACGACCATGTATCCAGGCAATGCCCGAGGAAATGTCCTGATGGATGATGATAGGATCAGGCTTTAGGATCATACTGGTAGAGTCGAAACAACATGAACCAACCAAACAAAAGTTTGGGCGAAATCAAACCGCTTTAAAATACACTGTTAATTGTGGCAAAGTCACCGGTTCCCCTGGCAGGAAGATGTGTCAAACAAGACCTGAACCAGTTTCGCCTCCATCTGCATGTCACTCAGCTTGTTCTCAAGTCGCCTGGTCAGGCTGTGAGAACTCTAAGAATGGTCAAACCATGTTCCGAACATACATGCATGCATACATGTATACACACTAGTGCATTGTACATGATAAATTTGTTTCAACATGTGCTGTATGAGTTTTTTTGTTTCATATACCTCTAGGCCTATAGGACATGCAAATGACTACACTTTAACACCCAACATGTTTTCGACAGAGTGAATAGTGCCTCATCTCCCCGCGGATGCCAGCGATCACACCATCACCAGCCAGAACAGGAGCACATATGAAGACCATGCCTTGCAAATGTATGAAACAGAGTACAGGCTAGGCTAGAACATAGAGAATAAGCAGGGGTGTGAATCTGACCAAAAGTAGTGATCAATTGGGCCATGAAACTGTAGTTGGGGTTCTGGTTCAGCAATTGATGGCACCAATTGGCGACCTCGTTCACCGCAATGGCCGACAGCCGCCCATACTTCGTTAAGTCTGTGAACCCCAGGTAGTGTGTCTTGTTGACATCTGTCGCATCGAAGCGTTGGCCAGCGTCTGCTAATGATCTCCGGATCAGTCCCCCGAAGCTTTGGCTGAGGTTTTTGTCGCTGCAAAGCATAAGGAGCCTTCTCTCCATAAAAGAATCAGCGACTCCCAATCCAGCTTGGATTTGATCCCGCATATGCAGCACCTTACCAAAGTTTGTTTGATCACACAAGTTCTGTTGTTGCCTACAACTTACAACCCAAACATTGTTAAAAACAAACAGCACAATGCCCCCATGAATGAAAACGTTGCCAAGTATTTTGCTTCGGCACCTGGGTCACATGACGGCTGGACTCCACCTGTCTTAACAGGGATGAGACAGCACAAGAGCTGGTGTATATAATATTATTAATTTTGTCGTGGCTAACTCTTTTGACCAGCCCTGCCTTGTTTCTGCGAAGGTTGAATCCAACCGCTTCACGGTAGTCATGTGACAAATTGGCACATACAACCCCATACTCTGCCATTCGGAGCTTTTCCTCCAGGATTATGAGTAATATCCTTCAATTTCTTTTGCACACACATTGACCTATTGTTCATTGATAAACAATAGTTCTAAATTAAACTAACACGAACCAAGCAAACAAAGACAACAAAAATCAATCAAACAAAAATGGATTGGTCCTCAGCTTCATCCACAGTAGCATCGGTGTCATTTGTTGGTGCTTGTCCAGCAGGTTTCAGCAGAGCACGACCCACGTGGTCCTGCCACATCCCTGTCATCTCTGGTGTAAATTTGACAGGCTTTGCAACCAAGATGGCATCAAGATCCTGGCTGTAGTCCCTGAGTCGAGCGAATCAAGTTGGATAAACACATGCAATTTTGCCGTGAACTCAAACCCAACCCAAAAAACTATAACCTAGGATGGCTGCAAACAAAGCACCCATTGAGAAAGGCAGTGGTCATTCCATCAATCATCTCACCAGTCACTTGGGCATCGTCTTGGCAATGGCGAAGAACAAAGACAAAGATGCAACACTGATTGACATTTGTTGTCCATTGGTCCTCCGTCCATCGGATGCGGACTCGCATGGACTTCTTGACTCTCCGTGAGTTGATGCTCCACCAGTGGTTGTACTTTCGGAAGTGCAGCTGTTGAACATCTGGTGTCACCTCGGCTCAGCATCAGTCTCGCTACATTTTATGTTGGACTCTTCTAGAACGAATCAATAAATGATGAATTAAAATTGAAAAAATTGGCTCAAATCAGGTCGGACACTGTCAAAAGCTTCTCCCAGAAAGGCGACAGACCCTTGGGGGCATTGTTGAGCATATGCCTTTTGAGACGCAAGATCGTTTCGCTGTAGCCTGCAGGGACTTGCTGCCCCTCCCCAAACAATGCAAATCACCAAAGCAAATAAAAACATGTGATCAAAACTAGCAGAGGCACCTGACTCCTCCCACTTGTTGTGGTCGAGGTGACTTCTCAGAAGGGATCTGGAAGTCTCAGTCATTCCTATGATGATGCACCATACTGCTTGATGTCCATCAGAAGTGATTTGCCACTTGCGAAGAGCACTGTTGGCACGGAAAGAGTTGTACTTGCAAATCAGGTCACTCAACAATTCCTCCTCGTTCTTCTCCTTTGCGCTCTCGCAAAGCTGCCGCTCTTTGATCAAGCCTTCGAATCGAGCTGCTAGCTTGAGAACCTTGACTGAACATGCTTCTAATCAGTGAACCCCAACCAGTTTTTGATTTGTGAGGTATTGGATTCACAACAAAACAATACTGAGCATCAAACGTCCTTACGTTGTCGCTCTGCCCCCTGCGTAGAGAGTTGGATCCCCTCGAAACACACAGTTTCTTGATCACTGCAGTTGGCAATGTTGCAGGGTAAGTTGAAGAAATCCCCAATCGCAGGCAGCAAGCATGTGATCAAGTCCTTCAGGGCTTGACCATTGTTAGGTTGTGTGCTTAAAAGAAGGGTTGGGTGAAAACATTCTTTATAGTCCTTCCCAGCAATGGGGTCAACGTCTGAAGCCACCAGCAAAATAAATAGGCCGGCAGTCCTGAATGTAGAAAGCGAAACATTTCCCCCTAGATTGCAAACAGGAAATGTATGTAATTATGGAATGCAGGCTATCTAAGGTTGAAAGAAGGAAAAACTATAATGAATATGGGCCAACCAAGCAGCAGCCGTGTAAACCCTTTCTTCACTTGCAAGAACGGTTCTGCAGGCGGGCTGATTGGAACCTTCCCTGGGATATTCAAATCCAGGGGCTCTCTGTAGAGCAAGCTGCCACTGAACAAGAATGACAGGCACGTCGTAATCCAATCTTCTATGCAAGGCATGTCATCAGGGCGCCCAATGATGATTGAACTCAATGGGACATGTGCACTCAAGCGCTCAACGAGTTCGAGCTTGGAAACATCCTAGGTTGATTTCATGGAAATTCAAAACATGAATATATAATATATACATCAAATAGTTGGAAACATAGTAAAAGCAACAGGTTACCACTTAGTGTATGCGCCAAGGCACAGGGACCGATGCAAGCTCCATTTTCTTTTCATGCATCTTCATGGCTTCTTCCAAGAATATCCTGAGCTTCTCATTGGTGGACTTGGCAACCTCTGGGCTTTTGAAGGCATCCAACACCAAGTTTGCTGGATGTGAAAGTTCTGAGCCTGTACCAGCACCGCTCGCAGGTTCCACGAAGAGGGCTAAATAGGCAAGAATGTCCTGATGAAACTGAGACCCTGAAGACATAACATCATCATCATTACCATCATCCAGCAATGTGTGCATCATTCAAAAGTTAAAACACGAAAACGGGTTCCATTCACCCCCTCCTATCTGTTCATGATTCAATTTTCAACATCAAAACATTTCCCATTCACCCAGCCTTGGCAAACGTGACATCACCAGGCATTTTCTTCAAGGCAGCCTGCCACTCGGTCTTCCGCTTCTTAGTAGCAGCACTCTCTGCCTCAACCTTCACCTGACAAACAATTGAAGCCAGGGAAATCCTTCTAGGCCAGACCTCAAGGAAACAATTAGAACGAGAACCACAAAAAGTAATAACATACAGCTCCAAAATCACAATTGCAAGTAAGTTATCTCTGAGTGGCTTCTGCCTTCGCTTTACTTTTGACAATGGCCTTTTCCTCATCAGCCTTCGCATCAGTCTTCACGTCAGTCTTCACTTCATTCTTGGCATTGGGGCAGAGTCCCAGGGCAAGTTGAGCTGCGGCAACCCCGGCACGAAGGAGTGGTGATTCCATGGCAGCGAGGAAAGGTCAAAGTAGAAATACAAACAAACAATCCAAAGCAGATCATCATGTAGGGGGCCCAAGTTCGGCGTAGGTTTCATGTCCCCAAGTTTGGCGTAGGTTTCATGTCCCCAAGTTCGGCGTAGGTTTCATCCCCTCAAGTTCGTCGTAGGTGAGGTTTTTTGCCCTAAGTTCGTCGTAGGTGGCCATGTTTGGGCCCAAAGTCGGCGTTGTTCTGGATCCGACCTACAAGGAACTTGTCTGCTGACGTTGACGTTTGGGGTCCCACCTACAAGGCAACCTGTGGACGCTAGCAATGATCAAAGTCCTTGTAGTAGACCCCCCTGACTACAAGGATCCATGAAGGACTTTAGTAGACCTACAAGGAACTTGACTTTTCTCAACTTCCCAAGTTTGGTGTAGGTCTTCTAAATCTCTTCTAAGTCCTTGTAGTCAGGGGGGTCTACTACAAGGAACTTGTGGACGCTAGCAATGATCAAATTCGGCGTAGGTGGCATTGAAACGTACGTTCAAGGCCTTGTTTTTTGGTTCCAGGTTCAGCCTTGGCCAAAGTCGGCGTAGGTGGCATTGAAACGTATGCTCAAGGCCTTGCTTTGAGCACGAGGTTCAACCTTGGCCGGTGAGGAGGGGACCTAGGTGAACTCCAGGTCTTGCTCTCTAAAGTCTAAAGCTATCATTTCCATACAAAAAAAGTTTCAGAATGATGTCTGATTTCCAGGAAGGAATGATGGTGCATTGACATCTGCTTTTCAGAGCCTCAGCATCTAGGTGTTTTTCGCACGGCACGGCTATTGTTTGCTCATGTTTGGAAACGTCTCAGCTATTATGTTGATTCACAAGTAACACCAATGAACGTTATATAACATGCTATACCAAGGTGAAAGGCCAGAGCCCTTTCCATGCCATCAACGACGCTTCCAAACAGCTCGCAATGGTACTGATGGACACAGGGTGGCTAGTACCACTGGATGGGGTTCTTCCCTGGCCTGAGGCATCACATGGATTGGCCCATCTGTCTCATGCCACTCCAATGGAGGTGGCTCATCTGATGGTAAAGTACAGCTGGCCAAGTTATTCAGGTATGAAGATGCCTGTTGACTGCTGGCACTTCCTCCAAGCAAGCGTACAAAGATAGCTGCAAGGTCTCGCCACTGCTTTGCGGTTTGGGGAGCCACTGGTCTGAAAGGCATCATACCTTAGGCTACTCTGACGCCAACACAACGGCGCCCCAACAAACTGCCTTCTGGAAAAAAATGAAACAACAAAAATACTTTTGGAAATCAAACATGTTCACTATATGAAACAGCTCTGGGACAGTTTGTTTTGAGAGGAAATGTCATTCTTGATGCAGGGGTCATCACAAGAAGAGGTGACTGACGCAGGTTGCTTGATGATATATATTCTTTGACCAAGACAAAGACATCTTCACCAAGTTTTTCTCTTCGAGCATTTGTCCCTTCGTCAGTCTCGTAGCTGTCAGGTAGATCTGCAAGGGTGTTTCAAGAGGCAAATGATTTGGATCAGCAAATCAGGATTTAGATTATTTTAGATTTGTTTGGTTCCATGACATGGTTTTTAAGTAGGGGAAGTTAAACTTTGACCAAAGGCAACTGTGTTTTGTTTCAGGCTCATTGCCTCTTCGACGGAGGAAGAAGAAGAAATGGTTGGCCGTAGCATCCAACAATAATCCCCCTTCCTCAGGTGGAAAACAATTCCAGTAGTGGATGTGGCCTGTGTAGAAAACATTCTTGCATTGGCTGCTCAGAGGATAGCAACACTTAAAACGCCATCGACTGTTTAATCATGGATAGTCATCCAATTGGTAATTGAGATGTAATGACCATTGCAAAGAACCTGGAAAAATAAAACATATAAACAAGATATTGAACATATTAATAGCTGGATTAAACATGTTTTCAAACCCAGTGTCCAGATTGATGGGACTGCATCGGTCATGGTGTTCTTTCCAATTGCGATACTTCCTCAGGATGAATACGTTGATACTGCCACCTATCCATTTCTTCATTGATGGCTGTCGCAACTCGTCTTCCAGGATCTGTTTGACACTGTCTGGGTCAATCATGCTCGTTGAGCGGCACAGTCTTCGGGATAACAATCCCCATAATTGGTCTTGGTTGTCCAAGTCTGTCACATCAAGGGAAAAAGTAGAACACAAATGTGCTCAATCAATGCCAAGGAGCCAATGACATCGTGGGTGTGGGAAACACGCAACATCATTGCACATGCATACCTTGCTTAAGCAGCACAAAGGATGGAAACACCAGGGCAAGCAACTATCATTGCAAAGCTCAAAGCAGCAACTAAGAAACTTCAGGGAGACACATTTCAAAGGCAAGAAACCTGAGACGGCCGTGGTTGACAAGGGAGGCCAGGTAGCAAAGGCATGTGGAATTTTTCAATTCCTTCACAGTGTTATCACCAACCACTACCACGGTATCCGGGTAGGGTTGGTGATTGGCCTTGCACTGGCTAATGACTTCTTCCAGTGTGCGCATGAGGACTTCTTGTACCATAGCTGATCCATGATATGTGATATCTTCTAAGATAGCCAACTGCAGAGTGTAGTTGAAGCACCATGCCCCATGTATCTTCAGTCGGGGACGCTGAAGCTTGCTTGCTCTATAGCATGATCGGAGTGAAGGATCCCGTGGCACATGGTACTTCGCCTCAACATGGAACTCTGCAAAAAGTGCCCCTTGGTAAAGTGGAAAACGCACTGTTTGCCAGATGGTATCTATTTTGGCCCCACTGCCCCACATTAGTAAAGACATCCTCATCGGTCCCTGAGATGCTACAAAAGCAAAAAGATATTCTGAAGCCAACACTAAGTGTCTTGATCAGCACCATCTGTCATGATGGTGCATGTCCTAGACATTTGCTCAGCTGATATGTCCTTGATACTCCAAAACGCGCACCTGTCGGCGTATTGGTCAACGAGGTGCTTCCGGTACAATCGTAGTGCACCCAGCCTGATATCCATGGGCTGGCCTTTGTCTTGAAACCTTCACTCCCCATTCACGCATTTCACCACAAAGGAATGACAATGAATCACAAACAGAATCAGAAACATCATGTACAGTTACAGCACATCAGTCAAAAGAACTGGTTTGGACAAGTAAAAACCTTGAAAACTTGTTCAGTACATCGAAGTAGCTGGGCTTTCAGTTCCTGACACACATCGCATTGACTGAAACTGCTCTTATCTCGGAACTTCATGATCAATGTCCACTTCTGGCCCCACCGCCGCACAAATGTACCATACCTCAAAAGAAAACCAAAGCCAAAGAGGGCCCAATAAGATTCATCAAGATTCATCAATGGCAATCATAACTCATCACCAACCATTAAAACAACACATCCAATCCAGACTTGATGCGAAGCTTGCTCCTGCACATTGTGAGCTGCGCACCAACCAGTGTAGAAATTGAAAAGATCCCACAATGTTCCAGGTGGTAAATACTTTCTGCCCAATTTCGACACATCCTCAGTTAGAAAGACAAACCAGTATTAAATGTATTAAGCACTTCACCTCAGATTCATTTGTCTTTAGCCAGCCTAAAAACCAAAAGATATACCGTGCTGAATATTAAGTAGCCCAGTTTCGGTGAAAGCACCAGTGGCGTTCATGTTCACCAGAAAGGAGGTATTTGCTTGAAGGTATGCTGCAAGTTCTTCATCGTTTTGCTCGAACTCGGACGGTGCTGCCCAGCCATCGCTCGAAGAATCATCCCCAAATGTCGACGTTACTTTTGATCTGGCTTTTGGTGCTTTTGCAGGGCCCACCCGGATGAACCTTGGGATGTGAGAAGTTTACTCATGGAAATTGGTAAGAAGGATGACCAAGGCTTTTTGAAAAAAAACATCACTAGTACAATTTGCCCATTAAAAAAAATTGTGGTAAACTCAGGCAGCTTGTTTGGGAGCGGCTCGGCAACACTGTTGTAGAGTACCATACAAAAGGTGTCAATGGATGCTGCCAATGGCGAGGCTCTTGGATGACTGCCGAATCTCAAATCCAAAGCCCCCATCCGATCAACTCTATGACTGCTGATGCCCAGCAATGATTCGAAGCAGACACGTTTGAGGTACTTGCCAAGGAAAAAGAACTCCCTTCGCCCTGATGCTGACCCATCACCCAGCCCCATGAACAAGATAGCATCCTGATCTCGCTTCGCTTGACGCTCGAAATTGTCCAGGAACAGTTTGACCTCATCCAAAGTAAACTGCTCGAAGCAAGTGCCCTGAGAGCATTTGCATTTGTTGTTCAAGAGATTCATCAATCTTTCCTGAAAGGGCATACATAAAAAAAGGAAAAAA